CGCCGCCGGCTTCTTGGCCTTCTTCGGGGTCTTCTTGGCGGCCTTCTTGGGGGTGGCCGCGCCCGCGGGCTTCTTGGTCTTCTTGGCCGCCCCGGCCGCCTTCTTGGCCTTGGCCGCGCCCGCCTTCTTGGCCTTGGGCTTGGCCTCGCCGGAGGCCGCCTTCTTGTTGAGCTTGAAGGAGCCCGAGGCGCCGGTGCCCTTGGTCTGCAGCAGGGTGCCCTTGCTCACCAGGCTCTTGAGGCCCAGCTTGATGCGGCTGTTGTTCTTGTCCACGTCGTAGCCCGCGGCCGCCAGCGCCTTCTTGAGCGCGGCCAGCGACACGCCGCTGCGCTCCTTGGAGGCGGCCACCGCCTTGGTGATGAGCTCGGACACGGGCGGCCCGGACGCCTTGCGCTTGGCGGCGCCGGCGGGCTTGCGCGCCTTCTTCTTCGCGGGCGTCTTCTCCGCGGAGGGAGCCGGAGGCGCGGTCGGCGCGGTCTCGGACATGGCAGGAGGTTAGGGTACGCGGCAGACGAGGAAAAAAAATAACAAACAAGTCTGCGAGCGGTGTGGCCGGCCGCGCCGAGCGTCTATATAAACACACAGCCACGCTGCGCGCTGATTGGCTCCCTGCTCCCTCTTCCGCCTGAGAGCACCTCGGTCTCAGCTCCGTGTCGGAATTGTGTTTGTTCCATTTCAGGAAAGCCAAAATATTAAACTCCCCCACGGAAGAACCACAGCAATTTTACTCTACAATCCACCGGGAAAGCCCAAGCTTTGAGGTCTTCGTCCTGGTGCCTTTCGGTGGGCGCCCCTTGGGTCTCAGCCTTTGTCCAAAGCCCCCGACACTCTGAGAGATTTACAGGTCAGAGAGTCCACTTGTTGATTTTCGTTTAAAATATAAAATTTTCCCTTTGTGTCTCCAATAGCTTGCCCCCCAGTAATGTTCTATACCTTCTTGGCTTGCCGTACATGTCAGCACCCTCTGGATTCTCCTTGAGATTTACCCAGAAAACCGCTTTCCTGGGAGAAGAAATAGCACAGGCTTTTTCAGTATTTCTCTACAAGAGCCATCCGAAAGGATGCTTGGAATACCAGTAATTTTTCATAGGAAAAGCCTTGGTTTTGTCTCAGAAAGCTCTAGCATAGCTTGAGGTGACTATTTTTGGCTGTAACGAGTCCATATTTATTTAAGAAAATGGGAATGTAATATTCAATGCTTGCCAGGGCAGTGGGGCCTGCTATAGTAGCTGGTGGCTGAGTATGTTCAGATAAAGGCATAAAGTTGGTTCCTTTTACAGGTTAAAAAATGTATTGTTTTTATTAAAGAGTGGAATGTTATTCATATGTTCATGAGCCTTGGGCACAGAAGTCTGTGATTCTTGGGGAAGATACATTTGGCAAAATATTCAAATAACAGCAGCATTAAGGAACATACACAGCACACACTCACACTTATGTGGGATTTCTTTAGGGTAGGGAAATGTAAGCAGGAATGTCCTATAGTTACTCAAATTCTCATTTAAGAAAGAGAATTTATAGGAAGCACATTACAACTTCTGCTTTATGTTCTGTAAGATACAGATTGATGGTAGAGTTGTCAGGACAAGAGTCTCACTGGATGCTATTTTGCTGAATGCTGAAATAGAGCGAGGTGTTTTGTAAACACAGAGGCAGACAAGGAGCTTGACAGGAATCAAATCTGGTAAATGATCAGGAAAGGAGTAACCAACATGTAATTAACCAAATAGAGTCTCTGAGGTCTGGCTAAGCCTTCTTCCCGGGGACAGAGCTTTGGCTATGAACCCGTCTACTTTACCTGCTTCGAATAAATAAAAGTGCCGACCAGTAACTGTCTTTCTTGAATAGAACAGCTCTATGCCTTTCTCCAACAGCCTCCAGGCTGTTTCACTGTGAAAGGGAAGCACTGAGATACTACACGGCGAAGGTCAGGAAATTCAGCTTTCTCCTTGACCATCAATGTTTCTGTTACATCAATGGCTTCTTTCTCTCTCTCTTTTTCTCTCTCTCTCATCAATAACAAACATATCCCCGAGGATTAAAAATATGTTTGTAAATCAATAAAAAAATTTAAAATATACATAGGATTAAAAAAACATACTAAACTACTGTTATTAAATTTATTTTAAAAATACAAATTGGTGAAATATTAACATATGTCCTTCTTTATCAACACATTAAACAAGATTACCCATATGACCAAGAATTAGGATTTGAAGGAATGATATATTTAAATGATGTTTTGAGATATCACCAGCTGTGTATGTATTGTGATATGACTATAGCTCTGGTCCAGCCAATTAAATTGTTAACTTTTCATAAAAAGAGGAAATGCAACCATTCTGTTGAGGGATACTAAGAATAAACATCAACTTCCCCCCTTTTTTTCCCCCCCACAAGTTCCCAGACCTTCTGAATCTTATCTGAACTGCAGGTTAAGAACTCCACTCTGGAATTTGTTTCCATACACTGTGTTTTTGTTGTTATTGCTTTCTTTAAAAACATATTTTTAAATACTTAAAAAATATTTTTATTGATTTTCTTAGAGGGAAAGATAGAAATACCGCCCATGCCAGGGAGAAGGCCACAACCAAGACATATACAGTGGACCAGAATCAAACCTAGGGCCCAGGCGCCTTCTGTCCACAAGCCCATACTCTATCCACTGAACCAAACCAGCTACAGCTCCATGTACTGTGAATGCATGGAGCAACTTTGAGGTGAGCTTGGTCCTTGCAAACGGTGGAGAAAAAGCCAGGTCTACCCAATGTCAGCTGGAACTTCTCAGCGAAATGAGTGATGAATAAACATATAAGCATTTATTGTTGGTAATTATTCTCAGAAGTTAGGCGTGTGGGAGGAGCACTCCCCTCAGTGTGTCCCCTTGGCATACAGATAATCCTTCCTAATAAAGAGGGAGTATGCTAATTACCCTTCACTTCATCACAAAGATGGCTACACCCACAGCGGAGGCCAAGTTCCCATTGGGAGCTTTGAGCAATCAGCAGGGACCTGAGGCTACTCCTTTCCTGCCCCCATGGGGCTTCATGGGACCGCAGGCTCGCCCCCCACCTGGCAGGACTTGACAGAGGACCTCAAGGTGTGCTTCCAGTCCTGGTGCTGGGCTAGGGGACCTCAGGCTGCTCCCCTCACCCCAGAACCAGGCTAGGGGACCTCAAGCTGCGTCCCCCCACCAGGTGGGGTTTGACAGGGGAGTTCAGGCCATGCCCCCACCGCCACCCTAGCACCAGGCCCGGGAACCCCAGGCTGCTCCACCCGCCCCAGCAGTGGGCCAGGCGACCTGAGGCTGCTCCCCTTGGCCTGGCTGGGCTTGACAGGGAATCTCAGGCCATACCCCCTACCAAGGGGGGTTGACAGGGACCTCAGGCCACGCCCCCCGCCCCAGTGTGGTCTGGGGGGACCTCAGGCCACGCCCCTGTTCTGGCGCTGGACCAGGGTTCCTGAGACTACACCCCTGCCTAGCAGGGCTTGACAAGGGTGGGATTGGCCAGGTCTAGATCTAGCCCAATGGGGGGAGCCGGCCGAGTCTGGGTCTCACCCGATTTTGAGGTGCATGTGGGTGGGCAGGGACTTGACTCTGGGTCCCATGGTGCGCCCCAGACTCTGACAGGAGGAAGGCTTTTCTATACATTTTACTAATTTTCTTTAAGCCCTGACACTTCTATTACAGAGAAAGGGCAAATAGCAATATTAAATTATGTCGTCTAATTAATCCCTTTTTAATGTGCATAAATTTTAGTTTGGAACTAAAATCAATTGAAGCCCAACACAAGCAGGGAGAGTGTCTCCTTAATCTTTTTTTTTTTTTTTTTTTTTTTTTACTGATTTCAGAGAGGAAGGGAGAGGGAGAGAGAGATAGAAACATCAGTGATGAGAGAGAATCATGGATCCGCTGCCTCCTGCATACTTCCAACCGCAGATCGAGCTGGCAACCCAGGTGTGTGCCCTTGACCGGAATCGAACACAGGACCCTTCAGTCTGCAGGCCGACACTCTATCCACTGAGCCAGATCAATTAGGGCAAGTGTTTCCTTCTTAATGAGATTCCAATAGAGACTAGAGACGCCTGCTGTAGGAAGGAAACTGGAGCATAATCATTTAAAAAAACACACACAAATTTTAGCACAAAAGAATTAAGTATAGTAGTCAGGAAGGATCAAAGCAAAATTCTGTTAATCAGCTATCCCTTTGCCCCATTGTTCCTGAGTTGTCTAGCAAATTTGTTTTTCCACTTTCATTGCCAGTATATTGCCTAATTCTCCTTTCAAACCCCAAAGCCCATCTCCCCCTTCCTCTTTGTTCAAAATGACATTTATACTTCGTTTTGTCAATCTTTGGGATTTTTATGTTAATTCCCCAGGTGAATGCATTACCTTCTGGCTTTCTCCCTTTAACCTGTTGCTGTTAATTTATTAGCCCACCCAGAACTTTGAAGATGGGAGGGAATTTTTTTTTTTTCATGGCCCCACAGAAAGTTTCAGCAAATTACAATACTGTCTTAGGTACTCATCATTTTAGAGGAGTGCATATTGAGGAGAGGAATAAATGATGTGGTGGTTTTGTGTGTGTGGTGTTTTTTGTTTGTTTTTGCAGATGATAAACAATGTGCATAGATTAGCTCTTATAAATATCTTTATGAGGAACAACATGCATGAGCTCATTACTTCATAATTTTGGAAACCTGAAGGACAGTGTCAGGCTTCCTTGTGGAAAGTGTGGGAGATGTCCCACTTAAAGGTTCAAGTGCTGTTTGCAAACCTACCCAGATCCACGTTTCTAGCATTTACAAGATCCCTTCCCTCCAGGACTCTGTGTGGCTTCCGGCGCCACACGGGGTTTCCGCGGCTCCAGGCGGGGACAAAGGTGCAAAGGGCGGGAACTGAGTGGGTTGCTACGCCTGCGCTTTAGGTTTCAATCAGGTCCGTCCCACGGCTATAAATACGCCGCGCGGCGCTCCCTCACGCCATTGTGCTCCAGGGTTCGCAGCTTCAGCTCCATCATGTCCGGTCGCGGCAAAGGCGGTAAGGGCCTGGGCAAGGGTGGCGCCAAGCGCCACCGCAAGGTGCTGCGCGACAACATCCAGGGCATCACCAAGCCCGCCATCCGCCGCCTGGCGCGGCGCGGCGGCGTCAAGCGCATCTCCGGGCTCATCTACGAGGAGACGCGCGGGGTGCTCAAGGTGTTCCTGGAGAACGTGATCCGCGACGCCGTCACCTACACGGAGCACGCCAAGCGCAAGACGGTCACGGCCATGGACGTGGTGTACGCGCTCAAGCGCCAGGGCCGCACCCTCTACGGCTTCGGCGGCTGAGCCTCCTGTCCGCCGGCTCCTGCGCAAAACCAAAGGCCCTTTTCAGGGCCGCCCACGTCCTCACCTAAAAGGGCTGTTGCTTTGCTCCTGGGTACGGTTTATCATCCTGCAGCGGTTCAGGTAGAATAGTTAAGGGTTTGTAAGTTGCCTCCCCTGATGTTTTGTCTACTTGGGTTTTGTGGAGGGGGGAAGCGGCAGAAACGTGTGAAAAACCTGCAACCGAGGGAGGTGCCCTTTTCCGTTGTCAAACCCAGACCCTGGGCCTGATGGCTGAAGCCCTACCCAGTGGTCCAGTGGCGGGTGCTGACTGCCATTCCGGCAGTAACTGGTGGCTGGGAAGTGTGCACAGGTAGGCGTGTTTCTCAGGACAGTGGCAGTTTCTGCTGCGTTAACACGGGTGTGCGGCCCCTAGCCCAGCCTTGGTCCCCCATAAGCAAGCCTCTGCCCTTCCAGGTCAGTGCGGGAAGGGACGTCTTCGGTTTGCTCCGAGGGGTTCGGTCTGCTCGGCGTTACTGGCTCACAAACCATCGGCTTCCGCACCTCGGAGCCCAGCGCAGGGACGTGGAAAGGCATCGGGAGCATTTGAGGTCTGCTCCCCGGCATAAGCTTGGTTTGGCTCACATGTATTTTTATTTTTATTTATGTTTTAAAATATATTTCACTTATTTCTTTTACAGAGAGGAAGGGAGAGGGATACAGAGCTAGAAACATCGGCGAGAGAAACATCGATCAGCTGTCCTCTATACACACCCCGCCGGGGATGTGCCCGCAACCTAGGCACATGCCCCTGACCGGAATCGAACCTGGGACCCTTCAGTCTGCAGACGGACGGTCTACCACTGAGCCAGACCTGTCAAGGCTGTATTTTTATTTATTTTTATTTTTTTAAATTATTTTTAAAATATATATTTTATTGATTTTGTACAGAGAGGGAGAGAGATAGAAATACCGATGAGAGAGAGTCATCGGTCAGCTGCCTCTTGCACACCCCCTACTGGGGATATGCCCGCAACCAAGGTACATGCCCTTGACCGGAATCGAACCCGGGACCCTTCAGTCCCCAAGCCGACGCTCTATCCATTGAGCCAAACCGGTTTCGGCTGTATTTTTATTTTTTAAGAAAAGCATTTTTCTCTATTCCCACCTTAGTACTTCCCTGCACGTCCATCCTGGCCCGGGTCCCTCTCCTCCTGACTAGGACTCTCTCCCCCCCACATTGCTGAACGGAGCCTGGGGAGACCCGAAGGCAGGATGGAAACAGACTGGAGGCGTCTGAGTCCTGGGGATTGCGGGTGCCGGAGTTCTGAAATGAGTGTGGGAAGGATTCTGTGCTTTGCCATTTAAAAAAAATATATAGTTCTAAGCGCCTTCCTGAAAGTTCCAAGGAGATGAAAGCAGTTGCAGTAACCATTTTCTCCTCCATGTGCGCCGCGGGCGGCAGCAAAATGTTCCTAAAGACCCGGAGATAAAGCGCCGGGGGGAGGTCCCTAACGGCCACGGGCGGGGCGGGCGGGAGTTCGAGCCGAAGCGCCGCGGGGCGGGGAGCCGCAGCGACACCTAGAGGCCATCCCGCGTCAGAGCGGGATTTTCAAACGCCGGCGCCGCCCTCCGACGCCAAGTGATGACGTTTCTCCTTAGAGACCCGGCGCCGCGGCCCAGCCCGGAGCCCACGGGGAGCGGGGCCTCCCGCCCGCCCGCGGGGAAGGGGAAGGTGAGTGGGCGCCGCGTCTCAGCCCGGTTGGGTTACACCCCTGGGGTGCGGGGCGCGCGTGGGGGGAAGTCTACACTGTGCTCAGCCCTTTATGGGAAAGCGTGGGTGGCTCTGAAAAGAGCCTTTGGGGTCGGGAGCCGGGCCGCGGCGCCTCACTTGGAGCTGGTGTACTTGGTGACGGCCTTGGTGCCCTCGGACACGGCGTGCTTGGCCAGCTCGCCGGGCAGCAGCAGGCGCACGGCCGTCTGGATCTCGCGGGACGTGATGGTGGAGCGCTTGTTGTAGTGCGCCAGGCGCGACGCCTCGCCCGCGATGCGCTCGAAGATGTTGACGAACGAGTTCATGATGCCCATGGCCTTGGACGAGATGCCGGTGTCGGGGTGCACCTGCTTGAGCACCTTGTACACGTACACCGAGTAGCTCTCCTTGCGGCTGCGCTTGCGCTTCTTGCCGTCCTTCTTCTGCGCCTTGGTCACCGCCTTCTTGGAGCCCTTCTTCGGGGCGGGCGCGGACTTGGCGGGCTCGGGCATGGTCAGATGCTGGAGGAGAGAGGAGAGAGCAGAAAGGAGAAAGAGGAAAGGAAGGGATGTCTCCCTTTTATGTAGGACTTGGTATGCAAATGTGGTGTCATAGCAAAGTGTTGTGTCTGATTGGTGGATGTTCAGAGCGACGTCAAAAAATTATCTCTGTCCAATCTGAACGCGAGCCCCACATTTGAATTTTCACTGGTTTAAGCTGCAACCTTTCCCCCCAACTGATAAAATCAAGGTATGTAGATGAGTCACCACTATTTCTCCTTTAGTTTTTTGACTACCCTATCTTTTTTTTTCAATTAAAAATTTTTTTTTTAAAATTGTGGACAGCGTTACAGATATCTCCCATTTCCCCCTCCTCCCAGCCCCTACCCGCCCCCAGGTCTTCACCACCCTATTGCCTATATCCATGGCTTAAGCATGTAAGTATATAAGTTCTTTGGTTTTCTCTTCTCGTTTCCCCCACCCTACATCGAGGTATGTCAACCTCTTCCGCCCCTCCCTGCTTCAAGACTTATTTTGTTGTTCAATTCATTTGTTCACTAGATTCCACAAATAAGTGGAATCATGTGGTATTTGTCTTTCCCAGTTTGGCTGCAGTCTTAAGCAATGACACCATTCTTCATGCTCAAAAAGGTTTACAAAATGTGCCGCCCAAATAGGTTTATAAAAATACCGCCCCTGCCTTTTCCTACTGTTTCTGTGTTTGGGGGCGGCAGCCAGGTCTGCTAGGCACCAGGGAAGGGGCAATTTGAGTTTCTTAAGCTACCGGGGCAACCAGAGGAAGAACAAGAAAAAAATGGGTGGTTAGCTGGTCATCCAGACAAGCCCTAGGGCAGTATGGTTTCACAATGCAAAGATTAGAGTGCAGTGAAAGGCCAGGGGGCAAAACATACCCTCTGGGAGAAAGCACAGTAAGTTTACTTGAAGGGAGATTAGGGAAGAATTTGTTGGCCATTTGGTTACAATGCTTCATCCTGAAAAGTGTCAAATCATTCCCAGTCTAGTCACAGAAGAGGATCAAATAGTTCTTCAGTGTAACTTGTGAAGTGATTAAACAAGTCAAATGAAGGAAACCTGTGTTTAACAGCTAAAAACAATTGTCCTCATTTGGCTGAAATTGACCTCTTTGCTAGTTCTTTAATGCCCATCTTTTTGCAGGGAGATGCATCCTTTTGGATTTTCCTTCTCTCCCCCCTCCACCCCTCCACCCCCAACAGCAAAGCCTGGCAGCTACTGCAGGTGGCAGTCTGGCACCCAACAAGACCAGGCTCCTGGATTTAATAGGTCTTACCTTTGTCTTGTAAGATACTTGACTTGCTTTCTCATTTCAGTGAGGAGGAAACCTCTTGGAGAGAGACCTACTCAGCTTCTTGTTGTCTCCCTTGTTGCTGTTGTAACCAAGGGAGCCATGTCCAAATAACAGTGAATGGGCTTTATTTGTATTTGCTTAATCCTAACCCCCTACCTGATTGAATTTTGCTTTTTCGGAAAAGGAAGCAAGACATATACATAAAGTAGCAGAAACCGAGTTTTTGTGTGATTAGAAAGGCGTTTACCTCACCTTCCCAGCTGCCCCCATAGCTGCTGCCGTTTTACTCAGCCCCCGAGGAGGTTCATAAGCACTGTCTGTAGAGCCGCAAGTCTGTAACCTGCTGTCCCTGCCCGGCTGCCTCCAGTCCCACCTCTGCCACAGCTCCTCCTGGGAGCCTCCTGCAGCCCGTTTCCGTACTGGCCTGGGTCCTGGAGGAACGGGCTTGATCCCCCCTGACTGACTTTTGCTTCCCAGTTGATTTTACAGCTTCCTTTCTGTTGGGGTCGCCAATGGTGGAACACAGGAGGCCGAAAGGGGTAAAAATTATGGATTTGTTAGGTCATCGGGAAAACCGGGTGGGCTGAGCCCCACCTGGCGGCAGTGCCCAGTGACAGGGAGAGTTTGAAGGACTCCAGGCGGGCTTTTTCCGGGTATAGAGTGCCCCGGGCCAGTGGGTCCCAAGGGGTAAGATCCTGTTCTTAGCAAGTGGAATGTGGTCTCGGCAGAAGGGAAGTCAATGTCGGTTGTGAACTGGCCTAAAGGTCCGTTTCCAGGGGAGGAGGCATCCAGTCGATGATTTGGATGCAATTATTTGGTCTAACACTTTCTTCCAGGGCCTGGCTACTCACATTGGTCCCTGAGCCACCAGCAGCAAGTCACCCAGGAACTGGTTGGAAATGCAGAGCCGTGGGCACCACCTTTGACCTCCAAACCAGACTCAGCACCTTAAGGAGACTCCCCACTCCCTTGGTGCAGGTGGAAGCCAAGGGCTGAGGGGTCTTTGCTTTTCATGGCAGGAAGGGGTGGCTGGGAGATACCAAAGGGCGTGAAGGAGCATGTTCCCCTGGAATCCCGTTTCCCACACTTTTTTAAACACCCCCCCCCCCTTTTTTTTTTTTTACTTTTCCTCAAGGAAATGTTTATTGCATATTAGTGATCATATTTTACAGAAAAATTAAGTCTTTTCACTTTTCAAAAACATAACATTAAAATCAAGGCATCTATCATATCTACACTGAGTGGCCAGATTATTATGCGTTCAGAGATCATCATAATCTGGCCACTCAGTGTATATGCTGAAGCAAATTCTCCCTGGTTTTCAGAACTCAGCCTTCCACGGTGATTCTGGTCCAGGGTCACCAGTCATTGTTTGCATTGGCTGAGGATCTTATCCGTTTTGGGAGCAAAATCTTCTTTACACGTGACAATCGTTTCCACAGGAAACCCTTCTGGGGCTCAGTTATTTCATCCCTTGGCTCTGGCGCTCACATGCTGAGACATCTTTCTGTTCTATGTCATCACCTAATTGTTTGTACCCCCCCCCTACCCCCTGCCCACACAGGAGGGAAAATCAAGGCGCCACGCAGGGCCCAAGTGCCCAGGTCTAGGCAGCCGGTCCAGATGCTTGGCCTGCAGAGCAAGGACCCAAACGATCTCCCTTGTCCATTCTTTATCCACGATTATGTGTTGTCAGTTATTGTTAGCATTGCCACTAGCTTTTAAAATTTTTTTCTAAATTTATTTAATTACTTGGGAATGTTAGTGTATTTACATTTGGGGTAAAATTGAAAGCCACCAACTGAGACAAAGCTCTGAAGTTAAATCAACATGAATCCCTTCAGCTGTGGTAATTCCCTTCCTCAATTCCATCCTCCCCATGAGATTCACCAGGAGAAGGGCACTTCTTTGCGCAAATACATGTGACTGTTCTGTGACTAACGCATATTGCCTTGGAAACACAAGGCATTTGTGGTCTGATTCACGTCCAATGAAGGAAAAAGATGAATCCTAAAGTAAGCATCGGGTCAGTGACCCTTGACCGTTTGCCCACGTGTAGCACTGTGTTTACAGGGTTTAAATAATGGGTATGAGGACCAGCCAACTAATCTTAAGCATGTGGATCTTAAATAGGTTGATAAAGAAAAGGCGCAGGCCCAAAGTGGTAAAAGCTCAAGATGACAAATTTAGATTTAATAACTGATGTAATTACAGCTCCAATCTCTCCCAAAGTAATCGCCCCTCTCCCCCCTTTTTTAAAGCAAAGGGAGAAATGTAATCTTCATAAACTAATCTGGAATTTTCCAGTCAAGTACCAGTAAGGTAATCAGTCTAAAGAATCCTCTCCTTAGAAAGAAGAGGCAGAAACTGGTTTGGCTCAGTGGAAAGAGCGTCGGCCTGCGGACTGAAGGGTCCCGGGTTCGATTCCCATCAAGGGCATGTACCTTGGTTGCGGGCATATCCCCAGTGGGGGACTTGCAAGAGGCAGCTGATCGATGACTCTCTCATCAATGTTTCTAGCTCTCTATCTCTCTGCCTTCCTCTCTGTCAAAATCAATAGAAAGAAGAGGCAATCTGCATGGTAAACATCCTCTCACCTTCTTCCCCCACAGAAAAGATGCCTAGGCCCAAGAATGCACCTTCCTTTTCTTTTGTAAATCGCTTCCTCTCCCCACCCTTCTTCCTATGAAAACTGCAGGTTGTGTGACCCCTGAGAGCCCCTGGTAGTAGCTAACAGCCATGCTGCCTGCAGCCTGATGCGTGACACCCTAGGAGATAATCGGACCTACTTTGTTTTCCTGCATTTTGTGTGGCCACAAGATGAGCCTGGCCTCTCTGCAGCTTGGAAGAGTGGTGAGGATTGACCCAAAGTGGAGTAGTTATTCCACGTGCACATGGATTTAGTGCGTTCCACAGGATACAGGGCAGACAGAATAGTCCAAGAATTGTGTTACACAAAAAAGAGGTTCAGACCTGGTAAGAAGATACTTTATGGAAAGGATTATGGACAGGAGGGAAAGGATTATTGCAGATGGGATTTTCTTCAGACGGAAGTGTTAGCAAGATTAGGAACAAAGGTGTATAGGAAAGTGTGAGAATGACTTGATTGGATAGCAAGCAGATCAGGAAATATTTTACTCTGAGGTCTTTTAATTCTCCACTGGGACCTTCAACAAGGTGGAGGGTGGGTCAGTGTTCCGGAGCCTGGGGGCATGGAGGAAATGTAATGTTTGCCCGATAAGCCTGTTATTCTGATTGATTGATTAGGATTAGCAGTTCAACTAATCATCTATGAATTAAAGAATGTGAATTGGGAGAACCTGTGACGGAGGTCATCGGAGTTCACCCTTGAGGCCTCAGGCTTTGGGGGGAACGTGGCTCCCGCTGTAAGCCACTTCTGCAAAACAGAGGAGGGGAGGGGTTCCTCTAACCTCAGTGTTCTGGAATCTCAAGTCTCAGATAAAAGCCAATATTGTCTGTTACATTCAACAATATCTCATTGAGATCTTGCTGGACCTGATGTTTAAGTACAGTAACTGTGTAAAGGATTGAACATACTTGGTTTTACTTTAATCTGAAATGAAATTTAATTGATTAAATCTCATTTAATAAAAAGGCAAGTTGGATGCCATGGGAATGGCCCCTCCAGGTAGTTTCTGGGTCCAGTTATGATTAGCTGAAGAGCGTTACTTGGACCACAGGATTGATTGTTCATTGAAAAAAATCGAGTACTTTGCTTTAAATAACTGGATTACTCTGATGGACTTTTCCCTATAAAAATTCTCTCCAGATCCAAGAAGTGATTGATACTTTAAGTTCTACATAAAACATAACTCTACACAATGGTAGATATTAAATGTAATATGTAGTTATTTGTTATATGATTGTGGTCTGATGGACATTTTATCTTTTCATTTGCTTTCTCAGAAAAGTATTGTTAGAGTTTTGGGATATGTACAATATTTTATATTTTTATGATGTCTACTTTTAAAGCAAAAGAATGTGTATAATAAAAATGTGCATTAGAAAGTGTTACATTTATTTGAGTCTGAAAATACCATGCCTGGATTTAAAAAATAATAAAATAATGAGGGGGAAATATGGCTGGGACATGTTCACCAAGGGACAGCAAGTACAGTAATGCTGATGTCAGACACATTTCAAAGCTGGAAGGACTAGTGGGGCTGGAGAGGGACACTGAGGGAGTTTTACTTCCAATGTGGACAACAAGGTACTATTCTGGGAAGCATTTTGCCTAAGGACTAGATAAAGCACAAAGCCAGAAAAAACAAACAGAGAAAAGGCTGGAAATTTCCTGGAATGAGATCCTAAGAGCTGAAACCATAGTGATGAGCACAGCAAACGGGGTTCCCTGGGCCACATTCCATGATCAGGATTGTGAGCTTTGTTACCTAAAGTCTGCCCCAGGGGGAGAGGGCCCTTGGACCGAACTGGAGACACCGAGCACAAAGTCAAGGCCGGTGAGAAAGCGTGGGTGTAGAGAGAAAAATTATATTTTGAAAGATTCCTAAGAAGATCTGGGCAGGGCTGGGTGGTGGAGGTTCTAGGATATCCACCTTAGGGGTTTAATCTCAGACCTTAGAGGGGAGAGATTCAGTGAAAGCATCTTGAAATGAAAAATTACTGCGGGCTTTTGGCGCCACCTAGTGTCAGATGAAAGCAAAGATTAACTCTTTATGGACACAGTTTCCAAAAGAAAGAACCTTGAGAATGCGATGGACAGCTTTTACAAAAATTAAACTTAGCATTAAAGGATAATTTTCAAAAAAAGAGGTAAACAAGTTGTGATTACAAGGAAATGGGGTAGTGAAAAGCCATCTCTCCTATACCCTTCAACCCAAGCACAGCTGGCTTTACAGGTTTTAGTGAAGTGTGAGGAACTGATAAACCCTATTTATAATAACAAGGCATTTCCATGGAAAAATAATAGGTCTCTTCCCACTTTTCCCCTTTGAAAATGCACGACCTAATTATGTACCTATCCTAGATACAAACAAAGGAAGAGACAGGAGAGAAAACTATAGTCTTGTCTTAAGGACATTCATTTAAAAAGTGTTATTTAAAACACAAACTCATGAAAAGCAAGAGGATATATTATTTGAAAAATAATAGTATACATGTAGGGCTTATTCCAAGAATGGAAGAAAAGTTTCACATCATAAACCTTCCAGTGAGAGAGATTAGAAAAAACAACAACTATGTGATCATCATCATTGATACAGTGGAAATGTAAGATAACACCCTACATCTTATACTTTAAAAAAAATTTTTAACAGACATTCTCAATATACTGTGAAAAGGAGTAGCTACTTCATAAGGAGTACCTACAGGGTGCATAAAATTTAATGATCAATTTTGGAAGGATTCCCAAAAAGCCAAAAAGGAAAGCAAAAGTTCTACTTTTCTGGTATTATTACTCACCATGGCACCCAGGGCCCAGCCAATACTTTTAGACCAAGACAGGAAGTACTAATGACAGCGATTCAATAAGAAAAGATGTTATCTTTCTTGTGTGAAAATATGTCATTGCAAAACTTCCATGAGTATGTATAAACACTTAGATTTCACAGAGCACTACAGGGTGGGTGGACATAGGAATTCACGGCCTTCCTATGACATCAGCAGCGACCCACCTGGAATGGAAATAAAACCCTCACAACCATTTACAATTGCACAACAGGCAAAGGATTGTAAGGTCAAGAAAAAAAATACTACAGATCTATATAAATAAAACTGAAATGCCACTAACAGAGACACATGAAGATTTACTTGTATTGATAGCTAGCTATGCAACATTCATGTCTTGTGACGATTGAATGTGCTGAAATGCTCATAAATTAAAAAATAACCTGAACAGGTACTGTCATGCCACAAAGCCCTGATGGATTTTTGGTGAAGCATTGTAAAAATGTTGATGAGCAAGAATAATCCGGTGACACCCTCTCCCCCACCCCCAACACACACACACACTCACACCCAGAGGCAGAAATAAGGAATGGTGTATTCCCTCTCGGGGCTGGTGCCTTAAGAGGGGCTGGGGTGATCCTGAGGCACAGCCTTCAGGAGTCAGGAGTGACGCCCCTGTTTGCTTGTCTTTCTTGGCCAAGCTGACCAGAGGGTTCAGAGCCTGGCTGGAGTGGGTATAAACGTTTCCTGCCCTTCTCTGGAATGGCTGCTTAGAGTTAGCCACAGGCCATATCCTTCCGGGCGATGGCTGAGGGCAGGGACCTGGAGCTGAACCTCCTGCGCCAGCGCCCGTCTGCTGGGAGTGACTAGGACGTTGGCCACATTAAGCCAATCTGTAATTCCGTGGGTAAGATCGGGATGATGAGAGCTCACAGATGTGTTAGGAGAATGACCCGTGAACATCTGGAAAGCACTGGAGACGCCTGGACTTTTGCAAAATAATCTGTAGGAATAGGGCAATATGTACATTGGTCAGAACGCTGTCAGTTACGACTGATCAGCAGGCTGGGAGCACAGCAGGTGCAGGTGGGCAGGGCCACCGCGTAGGGGTCCACAGTCCTCTCCCAAGGCCCAGTCCGAGAGTACACAGGCCTCCCCAGCTCCGGCCTACCTCTCTGGGGCAATCATCTATGGATCCCGGGGCTCCTGCACTGTGATAGACACAGGCCTGGCTGGGGGACACTCCCCACCCCCTTCAGTGCAAGAATTTCACGCACTGGACCACTAGTAACTAAATAAAATGCAACTGAACAGGGAAGGGGCGTGTGCCACCTGCACCCAAGTCTGAACTGTCTTTTGTGGTTCAGGCCCCTTCCTTTATGAAAATAACAATAACAAAAAAGAACACTTAAATTATGCAAAGCTTAATACTTTCACATGTTGGTCGAGCTGAACGTTTATTTTTCCTCTTGATTTTAGGGGTTTCAGTATCTTCGTGAGCCTCTGGAAGTACTGTGGGATCTGGGACGGCCCTGAAGATAGCATTTAAAAAATCACTTCTTTAACCCACACACACTCACGCACATACACCCCTAGTCCGCACACCAATGCCCTGCACGTGTGGTGACCGCAGAGGGGTGCTGCCGGCAGGCGTTTGGGAAGTTTGAGAGGTGCCCTCAGCCTCGGGGGAGGGGAACACGGACCACGGTGGGGCGGTGCCTGCTTCTCTGACACCAAATTGCTCGGTTTTCTGCTTTTCTCTATGAATGGCCCGGAGGACGGCTCACCCCAAAAGTAAGGTGACCAGACGTCCTGATTTTTAATAGTGTCCCGCGGCGTTTAAAAAAGTCCCGATTTTTTAAAACCCCGCGGGACAAATTATTAAGAATCGGGACTGTCCCGCCAAAAGCGGGACGTCTGGTCACCTTACCCAAAAGCGGCCAGGACCCCTTGGTCTGCGGACCAGCCAGCCGCAGGCGAAAGGCGGAAGTACGCGCCGGAGACCCCGTGAGGGCGGGGGAGCGGCGGGAACAGAGTGCGTAACGTAGACGCGTAACGTACGTCCCTGTCAGGTTGTGGAGGGACCGGAAGCCAGCGTGTAGGGAGGTGGGTGCGTAGAGTCCGCGGAGGAGTGTGGGTATGTAGAAAGGAGGGAAGGACTGGCCTGATAGCATTAGGAAAACGCATGCGCGGAGGGGCAAAGTTGGGGGAGACACCGGAAACGGGGTCTGGGGTTGAGTCCAGAAGGACGCATGCGCGGGGGGCGTGGTTAGAGCAGACAGCGGAAGTGGGCGTGAGGTTGAGTATTGGAAAACGCATGCGCGGAGGGTGCAGTTAGGGGAGACACAGGAAGTGGGGCGGGAGGTTGAGTCCTAAAAGACGCATGCTCGGAGGGGCGTGGTTAGGGGTGGAGAGGGGGCGGGAAGGGAAGACACCTAAGCGGGCTGTGGGGTTGAGTCCAGGACGAGCCAAGCGGGAGAGGTCTGGGGTACGGAAAGCGGGGCAGGCCGGGCCTCATGGCCCCGGAAGGAAGACCTAGGGCAAGTTCCTGAGAGTGGAGACTTGGTAGAAGGGCGTGATGGATGGCGGGAGGAGGAAGCCTGTGCCGAAGGCATTGGAATGGGGAGATGGCGGAAGCGGGGCGTGGCGCGATTTCCTTTCCACCCCTTTGTACCCGCATTGGGAGGATGGCCTCCCTCCCCGTTTAAAATTCCGTGGTGTTCGGGCTTGTGTGGCTGTTTGGTATTAGCGTTTCTGAGAAGGGCAGTTCCTCCAGTGTGATGTCCGGACCAGCTGCTCGGGCATCGCCTGGGTAACAGGAAAAGACGAATGGCCGGGCGATTCGGGGCGCACTCAGGGTTGAGATGCTTTCAAGTGTTGTTTCCCTTAGTCCCGGCGCCGGATGTGAACTCGCCAGCGTCCGCTGCAAGGCTGTTTCCCTTTAAGGCTGTCACCACCGCCCAGACAGTGAGTGCTGAGGCCTCACCTACTCAGACCTTAAAACCAGAAAATACGTGAAAAATAAATGTTATGTTTAGAAAAGGGGGTATGTTCGGAGAAATATTTGCATTAAAAATGCAGAATTTCAATACTTTCTCCACACATTTTATTAATCACAGGATAGATGTGTTGCCAATCCTCTCAGACGTCTCTAGGTAAAATAATGAATTCCCAGTAAGTAGGCATGTGACCGAAGTAAATTCTATTTTTAGGATTGAAACAGGTAATAAAATAAAGCTAAAATAAAACACCGTGTTGGGCTCCACCACTCCGGGAACGACCTTTTGATGGATCAATGTGCATGAGCCAGGAGGGGTTGAATTTGTATAAAACAGTCCTTATTCTCAGGCAGATCAGACTTTTCATACTTCATAACTTCTGTGGGGTGATTCACATTTTCAATTACTGTTTGCATTCATTTCTCTGCATTCATCTCTGCCCTAATTGGAAATAAATAAATAAATAAATAAATAAAAGGTGTTTGTTAGGCGCCATTTTCCCAGCTGCATTAGTATTTGCTACACAATGAAGTAGATCCTTTTTACATTTGCTTGTATCCCGTGCCATGAAGTGTATCTGCAGGATCGCCTACACTTTAATCA